CGCCTTAGCTGATTGAGCCACAGGCGCCAGCCCTGAAGTTTATTCTTTCTAATATTACCACAAGTGTCAGCTTTAAAAGTTTTTACTTCTTAAAATATGGAATGCTTATGAATTTATGTGTCATTCTTATACAGGGGCCATTCTAATCTCCATAGCACTCCACTTTGGGTATATGTGCTTCCAAAACAAACATCTAGTTTTCTTTTGATTAGTAATTGTGCAGCATCTCTTGTAAACAGCAAATGTATCTATTTTATTTTAGCCTCAAAATCACTGTCTTTTAATTAAAATATTTAGTCCTATTTACACTTATTATAATTATTCATATATAGTCTTTGTATATGAATACAAAGTAAATAAACAGTATTTATTAAATGTACTATTCTCTGTTTCATCATTTACTATTTCTTTCTCCATTTTTCCTTCTTTTTTTAGAGTAATTATTCTTTTATTAATTTAAAAGTTACCTATTAAGTTTTCTTGAGCTTTTCATAGGTACTCTGGAAAAGCACTATCCAATTAGTACTTCCTCAATGACGGAAACATTCCAAATCTACATTGCCCAATAGGATATACACTAGTCACATGTGGCTAGTGAAACTCAGGAACTAAATTTTTAGTGAAATTTAAGTTTAAATAAGCATTCTTGGTTGCCATATTGGACAGAGAAGATATAGAAACTGTAACATCTACTCTTACTATATCAAGGTCAAAAGTTATTATCTTATTAATACTTAAACCAAATACTTTAATTCCATTTAGCCCTCCCCCAATTTATGTTGTAATTTTTGTATATGCTAGTTTTCTTTTTTTAAATCCCATAAGATAATGTCATTATTTGATACAGTCGACAATCAGATTTATCATTTTATTTTTCTCTCCATTCACTCTTACTTCTATCTGAGACCTTCCTTCTGTCTAAAATACTTGTTTAGAATTTCCATTAATGATGATCTACTGGCAGCAATTTATCTTAATTTATTTAATCTGAAGAAATGACTTTGCTTTACTCTTGGAAGAGAAGTTTCAATGGGAACAGAAGTAAGGGTTAGCACTGGTCTTCTTTCAGCACACTGAATATATTATTCCACTTTATCTGGCCTTCAGTGTTGCTATTAAGGAGTTAGCTATCCCCATTAATAATGGGGAAATGCCTTCTCTGTGACTGAATTTTGGTGCCCATCATCCAGACAACTGCA